CAGCAAGAATACACGCATTAAAAAAAAAAGCTTCAGGATTTACGCACACAAGCCTTGCGATTACACCAGCTCCTTTCGCACACATAAATTATGGGATGTACAACTAACACTAGTTGACAAGGGGACACTTGGATAGAGAGTGCGCGCAAAGCATGGCTTGGGTACGCACATGCCTTTTCCTATCTTGGTGAGTAGAAAGTGGTTATTTTATCTCACTTCTTCGCGCGTGTGTGTTTGTTTTTCTGCTTTGCTTGAGAAAGAACAAAATGGAAATTGAGTTTTTGGTTTGTTTACAGTGTTGGACAGGTGGTGGCAAATCCGCCAACCGAAACAAGGATATATTTGGATAACATCACGCGCATTTTGGATAGATTATTGGATGGATATGACAACAGACTCCGACCTGGATTTGGAGGTAGGCAACTGCTGGAACCACTTAGTGTATTGATGTGTTAACTTTAGGGAGTTTAATCTTTAAAATGACATCTTAAAAATAAACAAAGGATCTTTAAAGTTTATGTAATTAGTTTTGGACTTGAGAAACTGCCTTTTTGGACTTTTTTAATGGTGAATAGTGTTAATTAGTAAACTGAGAAGACGAATTTCATTCTTATTTTGTATTTATTTATATCCTTTTTTATATATACTTCAGGTCCTGTCACTGAGGTTAAAACAGACATCTTTGTCACCAGCTTCGGTCCAGTTTCTGATGTGGAAATGGTATGTGATTTAAAGCCATTATATCTATACATGCAAACATAAACACAAATCCATTGTAACTGCATGTTTTCTATGCCCACTAGCCTCTAGTAGCGTTGGCCTGGCTTCATTATTCTGACATTTGGGCAGGATGTCATTATAGCAGCTTAGGGATTTTAATCTGGTTGACAATCCCTGACAGTGAGGGTCCCGGCTCAGCTTTCTTTCCTCTGTTGCACTCTACACTGTTTTTCTAGAGTGTCCAAAGCCACCTCGCTTGCCATGTGATACACTGTGACAATTTGAAAGACAGTATAGATAAGTCTCTGCCAAGATTAGTGGGGGGGGGGGGGGGGGATAAAAATATACCTCTCCTGAGTGAATGCATACCAACCTGGATCAGAAAACATATCCGATGACACTTTGCTGATGTGTTCGCTCATACAGAATAATTGTGGGTTGCCGTTTACATATTTCGCCATGTGATAATTGAGATTTGTGTCATTTCCAAAACTACAGTCGTGAAAGATATAAAGAAACAATTTACACCTTAAAAATGTCTCGTAAATTCACATTTAGAAAAAAATGTCTTGTTTCTAGTCCAAATGTCTAAAAATGCTTAAATCAGGAAACATTTTCTAGACAAGCAAATGATATTGTTGAGTTTTCAGAAATAATATGTCAAAATTAAGTGTTTATCCTTTAAAAAAAGGCTAAATAATCTGCCAATGAGGTAAGTAGTATAATCTTGTTTTTCCTTTTGACATTAGATTATTTTACTTATCCCATTGGCATATTATTTTGCTTGTTTTAAGGAAAAACTCACTTAATTTTGGCATATTATTTCTCAAAACAAGACATTATATGTTGCTTGTCTTAAAAATGCTTCTAGATTTAAGAATTTTAGAATATTTGAATTAGAAACGAGACAAATAATAAATTTTTTTGCAATGTACAAGAACAATTTACTCTAAAAAATTCCTCATAAATTCACAATTATAAAGAAACTGCAGGTAACATCGCGAATGCATGACATTTTAAAGTGCAAATATTTAATTTCATATGGAGTGCATTGTAAAATATACTCCAGTAATCTTAGTTTTGTTCCTAAAACTAAATGACAGTGCATGTGTGTATCTCATAAAACCCTTAAAGGATCAATCAAACGTTTCTTAGGAATACACGATGGATGTGTTTTTCCGGCAAACGTGGATAGATGACCGGCTGAAATTTGAGGGCCCCATTGAGATCCTGCGTCTGAACAACCTAATGGTCAGCAAGATCTGGACGCCGGACACTTTCTTCCGAAATGGCAAACGTTCGATTTCACACAACATGACCACTCCCAACAAGCTGTTCCGCATCATGCAGAACGGAACTATTCTGTACACCATGAGGTAACCCGCCTGCCAAAACATTTGCTCTCCAAGTCAAAAATGGACTGTGCACTTGCTCTTTATAACTGCAGGAGAAACACATCATTTACCAGTCTACAATATATATTTATTTTATATATTCAGTTTAAGTCAGAATAATTAGATCTCCTGCAAATTTCAAATATAACAAATTTCAATTTCAAATATTACCCAAATGATGTTTAACAGACCAAGGAATTTTTCCACAGTATTTTCTATAATATTTTTTTCCACTGGAGAAAGTCTTATTTGTTTTAATTCGGTCACAATAAAAGCAGTTTTTATTTTTTTTTAAACAATTTTAAGGTCAATATTATTAGCCCCTTTATTTTTATTATGATTGTCTACGGAACAAATCACTTAACATAGTTAAGCCTTTACATATTACTTTAAGCTGAATACTAGTATCTTAAAAATAAGTTGAACATTATGTACTAATTTATTATGAGATAAAATAAATCAGTTATTAAATAGAAATTAGTTATTAAAACTATTATATTAAAAAATGTCTTGAAAAAACTGAGATTGAGGGAAAATATACTGGGGGAGGGGCTAATAATTCAGGAGGGCTAATAATTTTGACTTTAACTGTATTTTAATGTATATTAAATACTGTATATTCTAGAATAAACACACATTGCAACAACAACAAAAAAAAGTTTCATATCTAGAGTTTTTGTCTAGTTTCTAGTCTAAATATCTAAAAATTGTAAAATCAAGAAGAATTAATCTAATCAAGAAATCAAAATTAGGTGGGTTTTTCCTTAAAACAAGCAAATTCATTACTTTGGAATAACATTATTTTGTCTACCACCCTGACAGATTAGTTAGTTAAAAGAAAAGCTTACTTCGATTGGACTTATTATTTCCGAAAATGGCGACGCAGTGGCGCAGTAGGTAGTGCTGTCGCCTCACAGCAAGAAGGTCGCTGGTTCGAGCCCCGGCTCAGTTGTCGTTTCTGTGTGGAGTTTGTATTTTCTCCCTGCATTCGCGTGGGTTTCCTTGGGTGCTCCTGTTTCCCCCACAGTCCAAAGACATGCGGTACAGGTGAATTGGGTAGGCTTATTTGTCCGTAGTGTATGAGTGTGTGTGTGAATGTGTGTGTGTGGATGTTTCCCAGAGATGGGTTGTGGCTGGAAGGGCATCCGCTGCGTAAAAACGTGCTGGATAAGTTGGCGGTTTATTCCACTGTGGCGACTCCGGATTAATAAAGGGACTAAGAATGAATGAATGAACTTCCAAAAACAAGACAATATATTTTGCTTGTTTTGAAAATGCTCTTAAATGTAAGAATTGTTAGACATTTGAACAAGAAACAACACAAAAAAACTCAAGACAATAGCATTTTTTGCAGTCTACACATATTAAGTGCAAAAAATAAAAAAAGATGGCTCTTTGAAACCCACTGTAGAGTTTAAAATGCTCTGTTATTTCACATAAATTAAAGGTGATTCTTGTGATATTTCCAGGTTAACCATCAACGCTGAGTGCCCCATGCGATTGATCAATTTCCCAATGGACGGACATTCATGCCCTTTGAAATTTGGCAGCTGTAAGTGGGATAAAACCAACATAGGTTCATTCTGAAAACGTAGCCCTATATACAGTTCTGGAGGTCCCAATATATAGCTAAAAATACGTATGGCGGTATGACGCCATTGCTTTTTCGTGCTTACTAGCCCACCGCTCACCTCCATATGGATAGGTTTCCCGCTGTTACCAGTTTGTCCAGTAGCTCGCCATGTACGTCAGCGGACATTAGACGCAGAGCGGAGTTGACCCCGATGACAGGGTTCGAGTCCAGCGAAGAATGATTCCATAAAGGGGTAAGACAAAAACAGAAGCCAAAAAATAAGTAAATAACAGGGTGACAATGTGGTAAAAATCAGGCTGCTGTTAGGGCTTTTCTTTTTCTGGATTGCTTTTTTAAAACTGTGGGTTGTGTTTGGGGGAAAAGGGTGGGCGGGTCAATCGGTGCATTTGAATACACTATTGGTTGGGTTCAGGGAAGGAGGAGCGGGGGTCAGGTTATAGGTCAGTCAGTCAGTCGACAGCAGATTCACGCTAGAACATCAGACGCGAATGGCACTCACAAGAGAAATTTGAGATCACAAAAAACGTACACAATGGCCTCTGGTGGATTCGCGAAAACAAATAATGCAGAAAATGCGCTCTCCAGAAATGTATATAGTGGTACGTTTTCAGAATAAGCCAGAGTTGGATAAAGAGGCACATTTACACTCCTTTTAAAAGCATTTACTGATATGACTGACTTGAGTTTTGATTTGTGTCTGATATAGATGCCTACCCAATGAGTGAGATTGTTTACACGTGGAAGAAAGGACCGCTATTTTCGGTGGAAGTTCCACAGGAGAGCTCCAGTCTGCTACAGTATGATCTAATTGGACAGACGGTGTCTAGTGAAAGGTTGAAGTCAAACACAGGTATGAGATTTTTTTCACAACGCTTTTCAAACAGAAGTTGCTGAGTTGTACAAATTTTTTTCAAAAAATGTTTTCAAATTTTTTAAATTATCTTGAATGTGTGGTAACAATTTAGTTGAAGGGGTGTTCATAAGACATTTATATTCTTGACATGATACATATTATAGATATGAAAGATTTTATACTTGCTTATGCCAACTGCCATTAAGTGTAATTTACTCTGTTTTGTCATTTTAAATGCAAAGATTTTCCTGATCACTGTTTTCATGTTGTCATTGTCTCATTAAAAGTGTCAATACTATGTCAAATAATTTCATAAGCATCATTAATATTTAATATTAACATTTATATCCATATATACATAATAATATTACAATAGTATTTCAGTGTCATTAATATTTAATGGTATTTAATGACATTTTAATGACAAATTTGATTTGTACCAATGTAGCTGAGGAAAAAAAACATTAATGACACAAATTCCTGACACAATTATAATACCCTTATGATAATCATGTTTATGATGGATTTATGACAATGTTATGTTGTCTTGATAGTGTCAAGTTGTCATGACAAAGACATCTAAAAAAACACTGCTAAAATTTCCACACATTTTCCTTATGTTGTCCCCAAAAAACAAAGCATTTTGTTGATTCAGCTCAAAAATAATTAGTAAATAATAAGAGTAAATGTCACCTTTGCATTTAAAATGATATTACTAATGTAATGACACTTAATGACTGTTGTTATAAGAATGCCTAAAATATCATTCATTATGTCATGATTATAGCATATTTCATGACAGTCTCATAAACACCCCTTTAAGTAAAGTGACAAGATGATCCCCACATCTATAAAACAAGCAGCGATATACTACTGTTTCTGTTGATTCTGTTTCTGTTTCTGTTGTCACTTTACTTAAAGGGGTGTTTATGAGACTGTTCACTAGTGTCAGTGTTTAAGGATGCAATATAGCTGTAATTTAGCTCCACGGAAGATCATGGTGCCATCATCCAGCCAAAGTCTGTGTGGTCTTAACGATTTATCCAACTAAGTAAGCCAGAAGGCTACTGTATAGTGACCCATTAGATGTATATAGTGCATATGGTGATCCGATTACAGAACTGGAGGGAAAACAAATCAGGAAAGCTATTTTGAAGTGGCCTTAACCCTTTCACACATACGATCACACCAGTGTGATTAGAACGTTAAGAATGCACGCAGGGTTCGCACTCTTTCAAGGACACCATATTCAAGGACTTTTTAAATCACTGATAATTTCAAACTGAGCACCTTTGTAATTCACACCCTCAGCATATGTGCACTATGAAAGTCCTTCCTGTACTTCATATTTCACAACTAGTTGAATTCTATACTGGCAATAATCAAATGTGGCTTCTGAAAGAATTTGCCATAGTTCTTAGATTTAAGATTTTTTAAATTAAAAAGTTTTCTGTTTTTGAAAGCAGCACAGTACAATTGTTGAAATTACACCATCAATTTGAAATTCAAGCACTTTCAACGACCTCTGTTTGTTTTAAAGTACTTTCCTGGCCTTGAATTAATATGTCTGTAATTCATGTACTTTTAAAAAGCGTGGGAACTCTGCGCACGTCATCGACTGCTAACATTCAAATCTGACGGCTCACTCTGAGGCATATAAAGAGATCTGTGGTGCTTGTAATAAATCGAAATTTTTCAGTGTTTTCAAACAAATAACATTTATTTTAAGTTTTGGACATTTAATACAATTTAAGGATTGTAAAACGCACGCTGGATAGCATGGTAGCACAATCATCTCACAGCAAGAAGGTCACTGGTTTGAGCCTCAGCTGGGTCAGCTGGCGTTTCTGTGTGGAGTTGGCATATTCTCTCTATGCTGGCGTGAGTTGTTGACATGAGTGTGTGTGGTTGTTTCCCAGTGTTGGGTTGCAGCTGGAAGGGCATCTGCTGCGTAAAACATATGCTGGATAAGTTGGCGGTTCATTCCGCTGCGGTGACCTCTGATTAATAAAGGGACTAAGCCGACAAGAACTTTGAGGTTGGGGTAGACGTTAATAAAATACAATTTAATGGATAATTTAATGAATAATATGAATAATACTCAGTATATTTACCGTTTTTACATTACTGTGATGGTTGGGTTTAGGGTTGGGATAGTGGTAGACATTAATAAAATGGCTAATTTACTAAATATTATAAATAATTCTTTCCCAAAGATGGGTTGCGGCTGGAAGAGCAAGAAAATGAATGAATGAATGAACACACAGCACAGCTGTATCCCTTCTAGCAAAAACATAAAAGGATGTGTTCTAAATAAACGTCACAATAAAATAATAATAATAATAATAATAAATCACTCAGAGCAGTAAGGAAGAGTATTTAGAATTTTTAAAGTGCTCCTGTCGGACCCCTAGATTGTCTGAAAGGATTCAAAAATGGTAAAAATCAACTGTTAAAACTGTAGAATGAAACTATTTGATTATAAGTTAAAGTTAAAGTGCCCCAAAGTCCACCCAAAAATTAAAATGCACTTAATGTTTACTCAGGGTTTACAAACCTTTATGCAATTCTATCGTCTGCTGAGCATAAGAGAAGATAGTTTGAAGAACGTTCCTTGTAGGAAAAACACAAAAGTCAGTGGTTTGTTCAAAAAATTTTCTTTTGTGTTCGAAAAACGAAACAAAGTTTTTAACAAGTGCAGTGATGTACAGTTTGGGGTGAACAAAATGTTCAGTTTGGGGTGAACTATCCCATTAAGCATGATATCCTGTGTCTTTCTCTTGCAGGTGAATATATAGTCATGACGGTGTACTTCCATCTGCAGAGGAAAATGGGCTTCTTTTTGATCCAGACCTACATCCCATGCATTATGACTGTGATCTTAGCACAGGTCTCCTTTTGGATTGACAAAGAGTCAGTACCTGCAAGAACTGTGTTTGGTAAGCAGCTTTTTTTGTTGTTTTCTGTTGGGCCAACCAACACCTGACATTTTTATCAGCTAAACAACAAAAAAACTATGACAATGATCAGCTCAGGTACCCCTCATGTGCTTTATTCAATGTTAAATGCTAATAATGTGAGTTTGAAGGCTTTTTTACTAGATATTTATTGCCATACTACTGAAAGCAGCAGCAGATAATTCACCTCAGATCTTGAAAATAAAAGTAATTGTTTGCGATTGAACTTTAGAACTGTGATTCAGTGCAGGCTAACACATATCAGTGATTCAGCATGTGCATTTAATAATGTTAAAGAGGTTTAATATGTATTAATTAGATTTTAAACCTTACCATTTCGTCGGAGTGCAGTAAATGCACTATTCTGTGCTTCTGAATGGCTGTATTATAGTTCTGTCACGTTTCATCTCATCACATTTTGTCACGTAGTGTGTTGTTAGGACACGGGTTACAATGTAATGTTTACATTTGTAATGTTTATGTTATTTGCTTATTAATAACCACCTCATGTGGAACTCTGAATCTGCGTCTCATTTCGGAGTCTGCTATTGTCGACTGGAGGTCACGTTTTCGGTCGCGGACACATGCTTTAAGAGCCGTCATGACTGAATGAATCAAATACCCGGTTTTCCATCAAGGCAACCTGGGGTGCTGCAATGTAATTGGCTAAACAGGCATTGGGCGGGTTAAAAGACAAAGACAGACATTCTGGCATGTTATGCACATTTTCAAAGCAGAATATCATCAGCATTGTTTTTCAGATAAACAAGAATGTTCACAAAGCATGTTTCTTAAATATCTTCGAACATACCATGGTATTTTTATGCTTTAGAAGAGTCCAAAACTTACACACAGCACCTTTAAGGCAAAATAGATAATAGTTCACTGATATGAATGCTGTTTTAAAAGGTAGGCAGCAACAGTGTGCCTTCTAAGATCATTATGACCTTCTTTTGGCCAAACTCCAATGCGTTTCTCACATAAAATGCAATCGCATAGCAACAAGCTCAGTTAAAAAAAGGGAGAAATGGATGCAGTGGTTAAAGTGATCAGAATTAATTCATTCCACACTAAAAGGAGCAGGTTGAGCAGACTATACATTACGTAAAACAGATCGCAGTGCTTTATCCCCAGGTTTTTACGTTTTGTGCATTGATATAAAAGTTATGATTTTGGGGCCTTGAAAATGCAGTTGTTACAAAATGTAATACAATTAAATATTTATTAATTAATAGTAAAGAAGTGACCAAAATGAGGTCGAGTTGTTTAGACCAATAGCTCAGTAAATTAAATTAAATTAAATTGATTTTTATTATTTTTAATAATAAATAAATAGTTGGTATTTAATGGCATTTTAATACAAAACTGAACTTTTTGTGCTTTTACATAACAGTTATGTTTTTGGTCCCTGCAAGTGCAAAGTTTTAAATTGTAAATAAAATAAAATAAAGTTAAATTATATAAAAATGTATTAACAACGTAAAATAAAATAAAAATTTAAATGAATGAATGAATAAATACATATTTTAATAATAAATAAATTGTTGCTATTCAATACCAATTCTAATAAAAATTAAATCATTTGTGCATTTACATAACAATTATGTTTTGGGTACCTTAATGTTTTCGAAACTGCAAACTGCAAAAAATAAAAATAAATAAATAAAATAAATAAATAAAATAAAACATATTTTTAAAAGTAAATAAATTGTTGGTATTCAATTGCATTCTTATACAAAACTGAACTTTTTGTGCAATTAGATTACAGTTACGCTTTATGTCCCTAAAAGTGTAATGTTTTTAAAACAGCAAATAAAATAAAATAAAATAAATTCAAATAAAATAAATAAAATAAAATAAAGGTAAGATAAGATAAAAATAAAATAATAATTATTTTTTATTAATAATAATAAATAAGTAACCAGAATTAGTCCAGTTATTTAGATCATTAGCCCAGTTAATTAATTAAGTGTTTGTGCATTTACATAACAGTTATGTTTTGGGTCTTTGAAACTGCAAATAAAATAATAAAATTAGATTAAATATTTTAATAATAAATAAATTGTTGCTATTCAATTGCATTCTAATACAAAACTAAATCACTTGTGCATTTACATAACCTTTATGTGTTGGGTCCCATAAAATAAAATAAAATAAAATAAAATAAAATAAAATAAAATAAAATAAAATAAAATAAAATAAAATAAAATAAAATAAAATAAAATAAAATAAAATAAAATTAAATAAAATTAAATTAAATTAAATTAAATTAATAATTAATACATTTTTGCTATTTAAGTGTAAAACGTTTTGTGCATATAAATAACAGTAATGTTTTGGGACAAATGAAACAAATTTACTCAAATAAAATCAAATAAATAACTAAATAAATGTATTAAAATTATTACACTGTGAAGTCATGCACATACAGATTGCATGTTCACTCTATAGATTAATGCAGTTAGAGTAACTGCTTTGTTTCTACAGGATAACATGTAATCTTTAATCCTGGTGCAAATGTGCATTTCTGAAACTCATTATACAGCAGCAGTTGTATGAGAAACATTTCAAAAAAGAAACTAAATTGGAAAACTAAATTCTTTTATTTTAATGCATCGTTTTCATGACTCTAAAATTGGTGTACATCTTGTGTTATTCAGCATGAAGCCTGTTGAATTGTTATACTAAACCTATATGCGCTGCTTTACCTTTATTTGCATTGTTTGTTTATTAACTCAATGGAATATAACTTGAGTCTCTCGAGTGTTGCCGCCCATGTAAAGTGTTCTAAATCAGTCACTTATGAAACTCCATTTCTTTACAAGGCAGCAACCATACATGTTGGATCTCACCCATAGAAAGCAGAAGGAGGCGTTTGTATTATAAACACAGCAGATATGAAATAACCGAATGTACGTTGAAAAGTTCCAGCACAGTTTAAAGCGAAGAGTTGTGAATTGTTAGACTGAGGCTGAAAGTTCTCATAAAAGATGGTGCCAGCATGAATATACATCACTGTGTTTCTTCATAAACAAAAGGAATCCAGATGAATTTGCTAAGCAGTCATTTATAGCTCGATGAGATGATACTCGTTTTTTTTTTTCCTGTTGGTTTTTATGTAGATCTCCATTCTGCTTCATTATCTTAATGCACTCTTCTTGGCAGCTGTTGGCAACGGTCCTAAATCACTTAAAGTGCATTGGCCCTTGTTCTGTGGCGGCGCAGGATAAAAGCAAACATATTGAGATCCTCTTCCTTTCCTTCCTCTGTTGGCTCAGTTTTCCACGTAAAATCAGAGCACAGTTATAGAAACATGAGACCACTCAGATTTGATGGAACAAAGTGATTGGGATATCTTTGGGTAAACTTTAGTACTAAATAGTGTAACTTAAAATCATTCATTTATTCATTTTCTTGTCGGCTTAATCCCTTTATTAATCCGGGGTCGCCACAGCGGAATGAACCGCCAACTTATCCAGCAAGTTTTTACGCAGCGGATGCCCTTCTAGCCGCAACCCATCTCTGGGAAGCATCCACACACACATTCACACACACACTCATACACTACGGACAATTTAGTCTACCCAATTCACCTGTACTGCATATCTTTGGACTGTGGGGGAAACCGGAGCACCTGGAGAAAACCCATGCGAAGGCAGGGAGAACATGCAAACTCCTCACAGAAACGCCAACTGAGCCGAGGTTCGAACCAGCATTTTAACAATTGAATTTTTCCATTTTTGAGACAATCTCAGGGTCTAACAGAAGCACTTTTAGCTTAGCTTAGCATAAATGATTGAATCGGATTAGACCATTAGCATCTCGCTCAAAAAATTCGGTCTCATGGTGCATATGGTCTAATCCGATTCATTGATTAATGCTAAGCTAAAAGCGACAGAAAATTAAAAGCTGATATTTTCATGGTTGACATGGCTAGGAACTATATTGTCATTCTGGCGTAATAATCAAGGAACTTTTTTTGAGAGGGTGCTCGCTGCAGAGCCATTTGAGGAGAGGTGAGCTCCAGAGAGGGGGAGCATGAGCTGTCGCTCCTCCTCTTGTAAGCTGTTTTAATGCGTATACCAACCCCACCCCTAACCCTACCCCCAGTGACATCACTCGTAGAAGAAGTGCAAAAAAGGTGGAGCTCAAGCTTAAGCTCCCCCTCTCTCGAGCTCAGGAGGAGCTCAAGCTTAAGCTCCCCCTCTCTGGAGCTCAGCTCTCCTCAAATGGCTCTGCAGCGAGCACCACTTGCTTTTTTTTGCTGCCGTATCATGGCTACAGCAGTAACAATGATATTGCGCAGCATTGTTACCTAGGTAACTAGCAGGGGACTATTTTCAGGTGCTGTGTATGCTTATACATATTACAAATTGTTGAAACTGTTTTTGATGCTAATGGTCTAATCTGATTTAAGGATTTATGCTAAGCTAAGCTAAAGTGACGAAAAATTAAAAGTTTAACATTTCTTGTTTGACATGGCTAGGAACTATATTATCACTCTGGCGTAATAATCAAAAAACTTATTTGCTGCAGTACCATGGCTGCGGAATGAACAATATTATGTATCGCTCTTACCTAGTTACCTAGCTGGGAACTATTTTCAGGTGCTGCACATGATTATATATATATTATAAATGTTTAAAAAAAATGTTGATGCTAATGGTCTAATCCGACAATTTAGGCCAGAGATCACCAAACTTGTTCCTGGAGGTCCGGTGTCCTGCAGATTTTAGCTCCAACCCTAATCAAACACAGCTGAACAAGCTAAGCTGCGTATGATTATATATATATATTTAAATTAGCAAAATAGTTTTTGATGCTAACGATCTAATTCGATTCAACGACTTATGCTAAGCTATGCTAACACCAATGGAAAATTAAAATTTGATTGATATGGCTAGGAACTATATTGTCACTCTGGCGTAAAAATCAAGGAATTTTGCTGCCATACCACAACTCCAGTAAGCACATTAATATTA